GTAATAGGAATAATTGCCTTACTGAGAGGATTAAATACAACAGTATATATTTAAATGCCAGGCAGTAGGTGCTCAATATTGTTTGGTGACTCCAAATATAATTGCAACCAGTCTACTCTTTTTTTTTTCTTTTTTTTGTCTTTTTTCGTGTCCAGCAACGGATCGCAACCCTCAGTGTCGCGCCCGTACCGGACCGGGACCAGCAACGGGATCGCAACCCTCGGCGTTGCGCCCACACCTCGCTCAGCCAGTGAGCAGACAGTCTGTATGTGGGATCCGAACCCTCGGCAGGAGCGCCACTGTGCTCCCAAGCGGCGCACTGTAGCAGTGCACCACCGGGCTGGCCCACAACCAGTCTACTCTTAACCATCTGTTCTAAAAACAGTATAGTACCATAGAAAATACCAAACAACTGATAATCTTTCTAGGGTAACTGTTCTCAGCTTAGGAAGTCAGATTTTTTCCTTCAGTAGATCGACCTTTGTACTTATATTTTATTTGAGCTAATGTTAACTTTTTACATCTCTTTATGCTGTATCCAAAATGCCAATTGGGAGTGGCTTCATCTAGGGAAATTATCCTATAATGGCATATTGTACATTTTATATGCCATAAATTTGAAAGAAGAGGCTATTTCATAATTTTTAAATATTTAACTTAAGATTATTTTTTGCTCTTTAATTGTAGAGTATCACTACACAGCCAACAGAATCTCATGACTGTGTCAAATCTTGGCGTCATATTTGGCCCAACGCTCATGAGAGCACAGGAAGAAACTGTGGCTGCCATGATGAATATCAAATTTCAGAACATTGTGGTTGAAATTCTGATAGAGCACTATGAAAAGGTAGGCTGAATTTTTATGTGCAAGTTCTGTATCTTGCTTTTTAAAAAAGAGTTTTACATTTGTATCATCTGTTAGCTTTACATTGCAATCTTAGGTTCTTATAAAATGTCAATTTTGTAAGTTTTGTATAAATCACTTCTTCATGAAGACTTTCATTTTCTTTTTGTTGTTGTTCAGTTTTTAAGTGCTTCTCAAAATCCTTCAGGTAGATGGTTTCCTTTCCTCCTACATCATGTACTTTTCATGGTTTTCATCTAGAGCATTTGTAAAGTCAGTTTATTACTTATATTCAGAGAACACTTTAAAACTACTTTGTGATTAATTCTATTTTAACCTTCTCTTTTTATCCCTCTGGAATTTTACTCTTAATTATATAGTAGAGGTACTATTCCAAATAAATACAAAAGGAAAAAATTTAGGGAATGGGGTTTTGAAGTCCTCTCTGTATCCAATCACTAACGAGGGTTTCTTTAAAAGAGTGAGATCTTGGGATAACTATGAAAATGAGAAATTGGGAAAGCCAGATTTGTTGGATTATTAAGCAAATGTAGCCATTTAAGGTCTAACCATTTGTGATCCATTGATGTCTGATCTGGTGGTCCCTGTGAGAGAATGACTGTGCCCTGTGACAGCTTGTCACACTCCTTGACAGCTCAGAGCCTACAGCATGGCAGCACCTTCTGAGAAGCAAGGAGCCAGTCAGCTGGAGAAATGATACAGAATGAGCCTCTTCCTCACAGGTTATGTTATTCAGAGCATGAAGGTGGAGCAAGAATATTACAAGAAAATAAATCAGTGTGTTTTGGCATAGACATCTGTTCATATTTGGAAGATTTCTTAAAATATTGGAAGATCTTCTGACTTTCATTTCACTTTTGTGGAGTGAGGGAGCATAAAAAAAAAGAAACCTATTTACTCAGTATAAATGGAAAAGAAAGTCATAATTGCACTAGGATATTTAATTTTTGTATCAAGCATCTCTTGCCATTGACTTAATAACTCTTAAAGCTTATTATATGATGAAAATGGCAATTTCACCCTTTTGTTGACTTCAGTCCATTTTTCTTCTATGCAGATTTTTCATACTGCCCCAGACCCAACCATTCCTCTCCCTCAACCGCAGTCTCGATCTGGATCCCGAAGGACAAGAGCAATCTGCCTCTCTACAGGCTCTCGGAAGCCCAGAGGGAGATATACTCCATGCCTGGCAGAACCTGATAGTAAGTGTGCCCAGCCTTAGGGGGATACTTTCTTTATTGTCTAATTCAGCCTTACCTCACTTTACTGGTAATTAGGTAGAAATAGATGATGTTCTCACTGATGCTCTTTCCCCAACACCCCCCTCTTCTAACATTTATATGTTCTCTGTCAATAGTTGTAAAGTTCCATGGGCAAGCAAATTCATTATTGCTACAAAGGAAAAAATAGTTAGCTCCATGCCCTTTTTTTTTGCAGCTGCGATTAAGTACATGAGGTGCTACTTTGTAGCAGGTTTTATCCTGTTGTCCAAGTGGTAAAGAAGAAAGCAAGAAAAGTCTGAATGCAGTCATTTCTTTCTTCCTTTCACATTATGTTCTTAAAACATCATCTCTTGGGTATCAGAGTGTCTGGAAGAGGGAAAGAAAATAAAAAGAAAACCAACACCACACATTATCACTAACTTACTATTCCGAGCCAAACCCCAAGATGATGTGGGTGGCAGCTTGAGCCCATGGTATGCTTTAAACTGTGGCCACTCTTTTTTTATTTTGTACCCCCAAGCCCTCGATTTTTTTCCCACACTGAATATTTACAAGAAAATAGAGTCTACTAATTTTTAATTTAAATATATTTGAATGCTTTGTTACAGTCTTTGTGACTTTTCTTATACATTTCTTTAGGAACTTTAAAAAATAAGCCCAGTTAACCAATATAACCAGTTTCTTATATTTCTATATTCTTAGCAGAAAAATAAAAAAAATCCTTTCTTTGAAAAT